ATATATATATATATATATATATATATATATATATATTTCACGGTTTGAGAATAAGAGAGTACACACAGTACGAAAGGGGCTAAAACGAGCGGAAAATTTGGAAATTATATACCGCGTAGCTAATTGCCACGCGTTCTATGCGAGCCAGCAGCTTCGTCCAATACTATAGGGTAATGAGTAATTTAACAAGCAATTAAACTAAGTAGTAGAGATCGTTATTTACGTTAAGCGCCGTTCACAATGGATATATACGTGATTGTATATTTATTGATTGTACACGCCTGCGGAGACTGTCTGTATATTTTCGTACGACTGTGGGGAAGGTAACAATCGTAAGAAACGAAGACGTACTGTAGTGAACTGTACAGAATCACGTGCGTTGCGAACGTTTCTCTCGATGTGTCGGTGTTGCGGTCTCCTCGCCACGACAGAAGAAACAGTCGACAAAGAGAGAAAGATAGAGAATAATAATAATAAGAAGAAAAAAGAAAAATGATGTCAGACATCATTGCGCATCCCGTCGTCGACACACAATTGCACGTACTTGCTCGCAATGGTGGTCACTTTCTTCTTTTCGTATATAGGTGTTCGAACGCGCGGTAAACACAAACAGAGAAAGGCTGATATATTTGCGTATAGTGATCGATGAAGCCACGAGTTATATAGTGATTCTCATTGTAATAATAATGATTAACTAATGAATTACCGATTAGCACTTAATTGTAATGTTAAGGGTTAGGAAGTCCGACGTTTTTATTTATAATCCCCCCCTCCCCCTCCCGCCGCCACCGCCACACACCCCCGGTTAAACGTACGGTTTGTATAATTCTCGATACGATAGACGATTATGAGTAACAATTAATTGCCATTGACGAGCCCCGTTTACATTATCGTCGCCGACAATTAGTATGAATCAACAACGTAAATAATTATGACGGTGATAACGAAGAGATGACGACAGATATCGTTCGTAATATTTTGTTATATATTTGCGTGGGCGGAAACAGCAAGAAATGCATTCTTTTATAGTATAGAAGCAAATGAATATTCCATATGGATTAATAAACATTCACATTTTAATAGAACACTCTGTTTAGGGTATCCCTGACACACACACACATACCATTATCCTGTCAACTATCCTGAACAACTTGCCTGAACAACCTTTCACACTGACTGCCATCATCCCTTATCATCATCCCTCGACAACAAGTTGTTATTTTCAAGATCGAAGATTCGAGAACCGAGGGCCGATTTAAGGTAAGAGGTCATTTATTTATTTTGTTTTATTTGTAGCAAATTGATTGTTACTAGTTTTGACATCAACACCGGAACTTCTTTCTCCCTTTTTTCTGGCAATTTCAAAAGATACATAGGATAGGTAGTTTAAACAATTTAATTGAAATGATCGATGTATACTTAGATGTACGTTAGAGTTGTTCTAGCGTTAAACATGCACATTGACAAATTAGTAAAAATTACAATACTAATTTTCAATATCGAGAATATTGCTTAAGAGACGTGAATTAGATTTTGTTTTTCATGGATAATTATTCTGATAAGCATTGCAATACATCGTTGACAATTGAAAGGGGAAGAACAACTACTTAAAAATATCTACAGACTTTTAATCACGCGTTTATTTAATTGTACATAATACTCGGATATGTAGATTGTCTTTCTCGAATTGTACAACGATTCAAACTTTTCGTGATAGTTTCCTTCGTCTAATCTCTATATCTTTCTTTTATCTCACACTGAAAACTCTGTAAAATCTCCTCTCGCCTTTGTTCTAAAATGTACTTTACGCGTTGCGTTCGTGTATGTACAGTTGTTGAAGTTTCGTGTAGCATTGCCGCGCGACAGGATGAACGTACCGGAAGAAAGGTCAGAATGAAGTAGGACGGCTTCGAACGTCGATCGTTTGTTTAACCAACGAACAAGAATGAAAGTTACGCCGCTTCCGAGTCGTTCGAATTTCCTAAGAGATGCGTACAAAGACGTAGACTGTGAAAAGTTTGTGCGCTCGCGCGAACACAGATTTCACGACAGATCGAGAACATTCGTTGACTAATAGTAGAGCAGGCTTCGTTGATCCTCTCCTCGAACGCTATGCGAACGTAATTTCGCTATGGAACGCGTCTCTATGTTGAAACATATACTGTAAAAAAATGCAAGACCAGGCGTCTCTACGGATGTGTCACACCGCGAATATCGCTAGAGATTTTCTACTGAAGATCTTCCGAATTTCCCCGACTTCCGTCCTTCTTTGTAATTTCCTTCCGACTCGGACAGAATCGCTGTCGGTCGCTGTGCTTAAGTGATGGAGCATTTGTGGCATCGCTGTTTGTTCAATTTCGTCTTCCCTTCTTTCTCTTGATCCATGTGCTTTCGTACGGATTCTGAAATTTCAACGATAGTTTCCTCTCTACGATTTTCACACATTTCTCATACAGAGAATCGGTATATCGAGAGATGTTTTTACCAGCTATGGAATTTTTATCCACCGCGGACAATGCGTCGCAGAGTTCTTTGCCCACAGAGATCTCAGGATTTAATCCTGATGCCCAGATCATCAGCATTCGGAAACCGTGTTCCTTGTAACTCGAAGGACCTAGAAGAGGAGCTTTATCGTCCTTTTCATAAGGCTGTTCTTGGATTTACGGAGGGAACATCGAGATACAAAATTATTTTAATCCTTGGGTCGTATCGAGCCTGCTCAATTTATTCCTATTGGAAATTCTCTGGGGAAAAGTTTTCAGAGTTCAAAATAAAGAATGAATGTATACGAGTCAGTCGTATACTCTGAGGATTAAAAATTACAAGTTCGCTGAAAAATTTTTTAATCGTTATTCTTGACATTTAGAGACCAATTTGTACCATTCTGTTCTTTATAAAATTTATCTGTACGAATTGATTAGATCCAAGTAAGAAATTAGAGCTTTGTACCTCGATGACTGCTTGCAATCTTGCACGTCTCAGTTTGAAACTCTCTCGTGTGTAAAACAATTATTTTACCAGTGTACTGGTGCTCGATCGCTTGAATCTGATCGTACGTGAACGCCCAGTGTAACGCCAGTTTCTTCCAATCTTCGGGTCCCAATTGTTTGTACGCCAACTTCCACAAAATCGATCGAATGTGCTCCGAAAGAGCGCCATTGTTACTGGAGATACTTCCACCCCTCGAGCCTTCTCGCCATCTTCTCCTAGCTGGCGTTAGATCCCGAATTTCTTTGTCGGATGTCGAATCTTCCTAAAAAAAAATATATTTTTACAGTTTAGATCAGAGAGAGAGAGAGAGAGAGAGAGAGAGAGAGAGATCGAAGTGGACGAAAAGAGAAGTAGATTTTTTTTATCGCAATAACAACAGCATTAAAATAGCAAGCGAACGCTCGAGATTTTCTGTTACGATCACACAAATGTAAGAAAAACATTTCCTTAATTTTGAAAACGGATGAACACAAAGATAGATGTATCAAACGTATCAAATCGTAATAACGTAATTGTGACGTTGGAAGATTATAATTCAGTAATTTATTTTAATTGTAATTCAGTGAATTGACATTACAAAAGCTTGCAAACAAATCAAGAAGCACAGTGTATTCCAAGTGTTTCATAGTGTTCCAAGAGTGTTACATCAGCGTGATAGAAGGTTTTAACCACCTACCGGCGTCGGGTAGTCCAGTCTCGCGGTTTTAATTATCATGTCGACGATAGCTGTGAAACTGCCCCTCGCCGCAATGTAAAGCGGCGTTTTCCCACCCTGTGAACAGATCCAGACAACTTCGTTTTACCCTTATTTTAACGAACTGCGTAGACTGCGGTGTGTGCCAAGTTTGCCAAGTTGACTGACGTACTCTCGAATCGAGGAATACCATGTACGCCAGCCTGTTCGTGTAAACTTTGTTCGGAGAAGGTAGTCTTGTTGACTGTGTGTCAGCTCGTCACATTCGTGTTAAACCGGGGTTAACATACTCGACACGAAGAGACATCTACTTTGATTACGTTCGATCGACGTGCCATGTCGTTGCGAGACATTTCCTCCCGGTGGATTCACATTGCAAACGAGGTTTTCACCCTTAAACCAGGGGAGAGTCTTGAAAAGTTCTAGAACGATTCGGCAAGCCAGGATATTTGACTGGTTGGTCTGTTTTTATAAAATATTATTTAACAAGATAAGATGAATCGTCATTGATGGTGTAAGTAATACCAAGATAATTATAAAAATTAATTATTTCATCCGATAGGGCGGAGTTAGAGAAGCCAAAGTCAAAGAAATAGAATATAAAAACGTGGTGCAAACATTGCTATCGAGTAGTCGAATTTGATCCGGCCAGTTGAAAATTATATCTGGTGTCCAAGGATACTTGGGAAATGGTAACAACGCACGGTGTGGTATTGGCCGGTTCAGCTGGGCAAAAATCGTACCATTGGAGGACAAATAATTGGACGGAATTTCTGTATATTACGGATGATTTCCGATACTACAATTTTCCAATCATTGCAAAGCCGACTCGAGCTTCAAAACAGTGTAAGAATCCTTCGAGCGTATTTACGGACCAGTGATTTATAACAAAAAGAATTGTCGAGAAGTATCTCGTAGTTTGAAAATTTCACGTTTTCCAAGAATTTCGAGAGAATCTGTAGGAAATTGAAAAAAAAAAAAAACATTTCTTCCTATTGCAAATCTATTCCACTGTGATTGCGTCTGGCACATTACGACACGTGTTCAGTGTTCGCGGTTGGAGGATAGGAAAACCGCGATACGTACATATAACTGGTTAAGTTTCCCACATAACGTAGATTTCACCAGTACTACAGTTATAACTATAACTAGTTCGGAAGTTTGTGGTCGATGGCTATAGACTGGCGCGCGAAGGTATTTGCATACTTACCATGGAAAAGTTTCGTGCCCATATGGGGTGTGTTGCCATAAAGTATTATTGCCAACGACTGTCGTGATTACACACATTACTAAAATTTCAAATCGTGCGTGAACTGTGTCAAATCAATACGCTTAATTGAATCACACGTAACAATTTGTATTAATAGTCGAGCTATGTAATCGTAATAATCGTATCAGCGTCGGAGTAATTATTTTACGATGTAATGCATACTCGAATTTACTTTACATATATAATAGACGGAGTTTGAAATTTGTTTCAAACTCGACGAACGTGGCCGCGACAGTCGAGGCAGTGTAGCAATGCCAACTGGAAATTCCAAACTGCTTCGTACGAGTGTAACGCAAATGCGATACATTGTTAAAAGACAAATAGGGGAGAACGAAATTACGAAAAGGAGATAACAGGATCGTTGGTTCACCTGTTCCCGTTGCTCGATATTCGCACCTGCCGCCAACAAGAGCTCGCAAATATCCGTGTGCCCCATTTCCGCGGCAATGTGAATCGGTGACTGTAATCTCTGCAACAGAATCGGATCGGATCGGTGTGGACGAACGAGTGAAAAACGTAAAATTGGTGATCGACGCAAATACACACACACAAAAAAAAGAAAAAAAGAAAAACGACTGGTACGCACCGAGTTCAAGCAGTTGAGATCGACGCCTTTATTGATCAGTATCTCGACCGTTTCAACCTCGTTGTTTTGACAAGCCAAGTGCAAAGGCGTGTTCCCGTACTGCAAAGCGATTCACCGAATGATGGATAGTTATTCGATGCCGATTACACGTACCTTAAGTGTGTACCTTGCATTGTTTGTTGAGTGCGGCGCCGTGTTGAATCATCGAGTCTAGTATCCCTTTGCAACCCTGACTGGCAGCCACGTGAAGCGGAGTGAAGCCCATCTGAAAAGAAAAGCACGGACGATCGAATCGGCGTACTTGGCTGATTGTTGAAAGACCGACGAAGCTGAACTGTTATTTACCTCGTCGATTAATTCCGTGTTCGCCCCGGTTCTTAACAGCAATTGAGCTATAGCCGTGTGCCTCGTTCTCGTGGCCACGTGAAGCGATGTGTTCCCTTCGCTGTCTTGGGCGTCCACGTTCGCTCCCAGTCCTATTAAAACTTCCACCGCTTCTAGATGCTCCTGCGTGCACGCATAGTGCACCGGCGTCTGACCTTTCTACGAACGGACGAGAAACTTTTAACCCCTTTGGCATTCGACAATTTTACATCGTACTTTCGCAAGTGTCTCATTTGCATCGATGCAACGAGCGTGTTTGCCGCAATTTTGGTGGACTTTAGATCTCGGGGGCGAGTTCTTTCTCACGTCAGAAAGAATGGTAATAGTGATTTTTCTATGGATCAGAAATCGAAATCCCGAGAGGATTAAAAGTATAATCAGTAATTATTGCTATTACACTGTCGAATGAAACTGGTCCTCCGAAATAGGACGAAAGTCACTCTGTTTTGAATTTGTCGTTCCAAAATTAAAGGAAAACGTGATCGTGATGACTGAATAGCGTACGACAGCTGGAAATGGAAAGCCGGGAGCACCGTCGAAACGATGCGAATTCCGTAAGTTTCCCTGAAATTCACGTAGCTGTGCCTTGCACTCTCTCCTTCGGGGATTTCATTTATCTTCGCGATAGGCAATATAGCTAATGTCGGAGACCTAGTTTTTCTGGCATCTAAATCCAGAGAGAGGGAGAAAGCAGACCACGCTGTATAAATTGAAGTTTCTTCGGTCCTTTGCGTTTGATTCCGTATGCAGATATTTATATTGCCGCGTCAGTTCAGAACGGATTGATATCTTAGAGCACGTCGAGCAAACCGCATACACGTGCTTTTCAATTTGAAAAAGAAAAGAAAAAAAAATGAACGTGAAACCGAAGAACGAAGCGAAGATAATGAAATCTTCGAGTGCTTCGAAATACCAAATCAGTCGTTAAATTTCATTCGAGTGAAATTTCACTCGAAACTTCTCAGACTCGCAACTTCGAAATCAAATTGAACGAACAAAAGTATAAATCATTTCAGCGGGATGTTGACGAGCTCAGCTCCATCGAGAGAATGGACGAAACGATTCTTCTCGATTTTCAATTCCGATTGGAATTCAGGCATTTCCCGAGTTTTCAAAGGATAATAATTTCATTGGAAAGTTTTCGCCCTTATCAATTGCACTTCCACTTCGATTCGCTTTTTCTTTTAAATTATCGGGGAGGTGGGGGATGTACACGCTCGAAAAAATTTACGAGTGAAACGCTCTTACTTTATCCGTGGCATTCAGTTCGATTCTTGGCACGTTGGCGAGCGCGGTTATCATAGTCGGGTGACCAGCGCTGGCCGCGTGATGAAGAGCGGTTGCACCGGTGCAATCGGTTGCATCTCCGTTCAACGATTCCACTGCCTCCGCGAGGTACTCGATCACGTGAACGTTGTTGCCTTGAGCAGCGCACATTAAGAGAGTGTGTTGCTTCTGTGACAAACAGACTGTCGGTTACGTATGTGTGTGCGTGTGTGCGTGTGTACTACTCTCTCTTTAATGAATATCGTCGGCCTCGATCGACAGTAAAATACGTAAATCTTTCATCGGTCATTGTTCTCGTTGAAACGAAATGGAACTACTCCTTTCCAACTCTAATTTCAAACGTTCTCCACGAGAACTTCCGACGATAAGATCACGCTCGAGACCTCTGCCGGTACGAAAGAATCTGAGAACGAGAGAATTCGACTCGTGACTCGATTTTCTGATTCGCAGTGAGAGAAGAAAGTATCTTCGTATCAGCTTCGATTCTCTCTTTCTTCTCCTGACTGATTCCATCAGTGAGTCGAATCTCACCGATGTTTCTTTGTTTAGCATTGATCGACAATCACGTAATTATCGCACCTTGTTCACCGCCGACACGCTTGCCCCGGCGTTGATTAACATTTTCACGGCGTCCCTGTGCCCATATCGCGCCGCCATGTGTAACGGACGCATGCCGAACTTGAAACACAGCAAACGGAATTTAATTAACATTATGTTGAATTTATATGAAATCTATATGGCGTCTCGGAGGGGCACCCGCCGCGTTTGCTCGCGTTTTCAGTCAAATCGATACGAATTTCGCTCGACCGTGGAAAACGCGCAAACGTGGACAGTGGAAAATTGAAAAATAATTAACACACGAGCGCGAATGTTGGGAATGTTCATTTGTCCTGTAGGTAGTTATCTGATTTGCTTTGATTGCGTATTTCAACGGTATGAATATATTTTCAACGAGAATGTGTCACCTTGTCTCTGGCTTCGATGTCGCATTTCGCCTGTATCAGCATCTCGATGATCTCCGTGTTCCCTCTGGACGCTGCCCAGTGAATCGGCGCACGACCATACTAAACAATCATCATTTTGTCTCTGTAACGTTGCAGTTGATGTTGAATTACCGTGACTACTCGCCCCCCTCCCCTCGTTCATTCCTCTTGCGAATAATTTAATATTACGTAGGACAGATATAACTATACTACACCAAGTAGTATACAAACGAACCACAATAATTTACGTTGCATTGCTAAAACTTACAAAGTGTTATTTCATCTCAGTGTAGAATCTCCAAAATTGAATCAAACTTTAGACTGTAGCTTCTAGTTGCTTGACGATGAATTTTCACGCGTTAGAAATTCGAAATTCCTGTCCCTTTAAACGGCAGAGAGAGAGAGAGAGAGAAAGAAGTGAGCACGTTCAAGTGGAATAGTCCGTGTTCAGCCGGGCGCTCGGCTCGAATTAAAATTCCTTTGGATTAATATCAGATGCAAGTAGATGGAAGATGGTTGAACGGCGTCGATGATTTCGGGTAAACGGGTAAATTTTCTTAATTAAATTTCCGATGTTTCGCTAATGGAGCCTCGAGTAGTAATGCCCCGTGTGTAGTCAGACGCTCACCACTCGCGTCTACGCGAGGTTGCTGCAATCGTGTTATTCGCCGGTACAATACATTTTGCACGGCATTAGCGTTAATGAAGTGGCGCAAAGCGAAAGATTTTATTTTCAACCGTAACGTTCTCCGTCCCCGATTCCCGGAAATTCGATTTTTCTATCGGAAACTGAATCGACATTAACCGCGACCCGATTATTCCGTGCCCTCTCTCTCTCTCTCTCTTGCCCATTTCTACCACCGTTTGCGGGATTCATTCTATCCTATCACGTTCTCTACGACTTACATTGTTCCTGGAATTGACGTCCACCGTCTCTTTGAGCACTTTGCGAACGGTATCCGCTTCGTTTTTTATCACAGCCTCGTACAATAGAAGATCGTTCCTAAGTACTAAGGAAACGGGAGATTTTTCGTTAGAACTATTGAAAAGTGTGTCTCTTCGGGACCTTTCAGTTGTTTCAGCGCTTTAGTCAAGATTTGTTTCCTTTAGTTTATGTTGGATTGTTCAGGAAATTCAGGGAAAAATTTTTTAGACTTATCGCGATAATAAAACAGAAAGAAAAGAAATTGAAGTAAGTGGAGGAAAAGTCGAAGTTAACGAAATAAATAAATGGTACGTGGTTTCTGCCGCGACAGATTGATCAAAGAAATTTGCAGTGTGATGAAACGTTGCATCAATTGAACATCGGTCCCCAAAGTGTTTGTTCCTTTCAAGAAAGAATCGTCGCATTGTTGTTTGATCAAAAAATCAACATTTCATTATTTTATTATTTCGATTCACTGAACTTTCCGAACGACCTCTTTCACACAACATTTTCCTTCAGAGAGAGATTTCTAAAAATCGTAGTTTCTCCGAATCAGGAAAGCAGAGAAAGAAAGTGTTGTAAACTTTTTCGCTCGTTTCATCCAGTAGACGAAGCTACTGAATGAAAAGATGAGAAATAACTGAAGTTTTTATTTATTTTCAGATTCCCTTCCGATCGGAACGGAAAGTTAACGTTTTCTCTGATACTTACTCCTAGCAGTCTTTTGATTCAATACCTCGCCCTCGATCGCGTCGTTGATATTCAGCGGCGAGGGCGTCTTCGTTATTTCCCCTTTGTCCACCATTTTTCGTTGCCTCGCGCGTTTCCGTTCGCCCTCTACATATTGACTCTTGATTGCCGGGCTTATTAAATCTGAAAATCCAAATCGAACGTGCATCGTTTCCCTCCTTTTTTTAATTACCTTTCGATTATTCTTCGTTCGGCTAAAATCATTTTACCTGTTATTGCGCAATCGAATGACAATTACTTTCTCGAGCTTCGATGCGCACCGATCATGCAAAATTATGCAAACGAAATTCTTCGTACTCGCTCCGGTTTTGTCTCGCAATTAAAAAAAAAAAAAAAAAAAAAAAAAAAAAAAAAGAAAAAATAAATAAATAAATTCATTTGCATGGAATTGTGCAACGGTCTCTGGTTATTGGTTCGCTGATTTTAAAACACGCTGATCTTTCATACCTCGTGTTTCACACGTTTTATTTATTTGTTGGTGCATTCGTCGATTAGTCTTTTTAAAATCCATCCATTACAAAATGGTTTTCTCAAAATACAGAGCTACAGATAGAATTGGAATTTTCTTAAAGGTAACAATCACGTCACTCGGTATTGTGGAGAATTCATTGGTCAAATGGATACTTTGTGTATACTTCGAAAATAGCAAGTGACTTATTTATAACAATCGTTAGTTCTCAAATTTCAAATTGGAACGACTGTATAGTCGGTCTCTGCTCTTTGAGCAAAGAAATGTCCAATTGTACGAAAGTGGGAATCGGCGAGGAAGAATTAACGGTGAAATTTCCATACGTTCAGATTTCGAGTGTGCCTTGATCCTGGACTGGGAACACCTGTTAGCGAGCTATGGTCGTTCTATGAATATCATTGCGGTGCCTCTCGTTTGCCGTAATTTCGAAATTGAACGGCGGATTCTCTACATAATAATAACGACGTTAATTCTGGCTAGCGAGCCAAGTCATCGATGCAAATTGCTAAATACATACAGAGAGTCCTTCGGATAGCATGCTAAAGCGAAACTGCAAGTATGCGTATAATTATTTCATTTGTGCAACCGTCTAGCAATCTTGCAGGCATGCCGCGATTCCGACACGAATGCAACCAGCGAGCGTACTATTAATTGCACATCCGCTTGTAGTCCCACTCGTTCTGGGTTTCGTGAATTAACACTTCGACTTGGTTAGAAGCGGCGTATCACATCGATTTCTCTCTCTATAAATATTTTCGAATGACCAGAATAAGACGAATGTTATCGGCGTGCAGAGTATTCCATGCAACGTAAATAACTGGCCGACTATAAGCTACAAAGTGATAAATGCACTTTCACTGCTTTGTCAGTACTTTGTCAAAATTTTCCCATGATAGCGAAATTAACGTTAACACCGACGACAAAAGTAATAAAATTTCCATCGGAGGCGTTAATAGAAATTTTTTTGTAACGCAACACATGTTTTATGTGTTACTTATATATTTTCATTTTCTTTAAAAATACACTGTATTATACGTGTAAAATATCTAAAATATCTAAAATTAAAAATTAATCATTTTGACCATTAAGGTAGTCCTGCCGTTAAAAGTTCTGCGCAAGTTCGTCACAATGAAACGGAATCCATCTGTTTTCTCAAAATTTTATCGATCAAAGTAACAACGAGCCTCAAATAGAATTGTTCGTGTTAGCACAGGAAGCATTGATGCTTGAGTCGGACTCATAATTCGAAAATCTCAGATTTCTCGAACTAGATAATTTTCAGGATTACTAAGAATTTTGAAATTCCGAAGAATCATCGGTAACGTTTCAGTCTGTCAGTTAGAACGGTCATAGTTGAAAGTTACGATCGTCCAGGCGTCGATACGATTCGACCAGCGCGAAAATCTGCGCTTGTTCGGTCAGTGAAATAATGCAAAATGGAGGAAATTCAAAATATTGCAAGGACTCGTCCATGCGTCAGAACTCAGTAGTACGAGCTTTATTTATACGTTTCACCGACGCTCGAAAAATACACGTGCTTTCTCTTTCAACGTCATCCGGCCGACAATGCGTATTCTTGTGTTTTGTATTTCTCCACGGAGCCATCCATGTGGATTTCGTGAAATACAATTCACGCAGGGAGCTGGCGTCGAGAGGCAAATCCGTGGAGAGATACCGAAAGCAGGGAAAGACGTCCTTTGAAAATGTATAAATATAAAACGTCCCTCTCTCACGGATGAACGCAGGTTTTGTCCGTTTCGTTTCGCGCTGCCTGCGAACTGCATCGGATTAGTGCCTCGCGAGGGCAGAGAGAATACCGCGACTGTCGGAAGTTCTCGGTCGCAGAGTAACCATTCTATTTCAATTTGAAATTGCAAATTAACACCGCCAACTGTCAGAACGGTCGAAGCATCGGTACACCTCGGTAGCAATGTTTTTCAACGGAAAGAAAATCAGAGGCAAATTTTTTTCACAGAAATTTTGGAAAATTTTGCAGCAGGCTGTATTTTTCCAAATATGACTGACGTTCTTCTGCTCTTTGCACTTTGTTTGTCTCTCCGTTGAAAGTTGAAAGTGTACGTTTCCAAGTTTGCCTGCATTTCCGCAACATTGCATTGTACGTGTTATATTTCTCATTTCCAGAATTTTTCTGTTTCTGTGATAGAATGAAATTGCCCTTTGGCGATAATCGCCGAAAACTTCCGATATATATAAAAGGACACATATTTTTCGAAATAGTTTTCTGTTTTCTCTTTTCTCTCTTTTCTCTTTACGCGATTTATTTGTTTTCCGAGCTTTAATCGTACTCGGTAACACACAGAGTGAAATGTTTAACGAGCCGCGGAGAGTCGTGCAGAAAAATGAAATTCCTTGAGCGAAAGTAGTTCAAACCGCGACACTTATGAAAATATACCTGCAGTCAGTTGTTGAAAGTGCGGGGATATTCTGTCAACTGTTTCTGAGAAACGAGTTCACTGTGCTGAGAAAGTTTTAATAAGGATCTCCTCCCCGTTTTCGATGTTTTCACCGTTGCCAAGAGAATTCCGCAGACGGTTTGCACGGCCCAAAAAATGTCGCGCGACAGTAAGAGCGGAACGTTCCACGGAAAATTGACGATCAGAGCAGAGCAGAGTTGAACTAGTTGGATATAGTTCTCTAACTCTGTTCTGCCTGTCGCTGAGAGAATTACTCGAAATGAATGCAACGAGAATGTATAACACGCGTCTCTTTAAAACGTTTTTCTAAAGTGTTTTCACTTCGATGGGAGATTCCTTTCTGATGGAACGAGTTTCTAACGAACATTCAAGTTACGTGATATTTCTACTTCGACGTGACCATTTTACTCTAAAACGGTACGTTTGTCATGCCAGTCGCGAATCTACTCTGATAAACGATCGTGTTTGCAGTTTCAACCCCTCGAGCCTGAACCGTTCAATTTTTGCGATGCTTGCCACTTTGGTAGCAAATTTTCTGAAATAAAGCGCTCGTTATTCGAGACACGAGCGAGCTGATCAATTGGATTCTGACGAACGATGATCGCGACATAGTTCTCATTGCGAACGTGACTCTGTACTCGACGTTGGTTACATCGAAATTCAATCGAACGTTGACTCGCTATATATGTCGCCGATTCATCGCCACCGCGATCGTTCGAAACCCTTTTGAAATTGGAGGCGAACGTTCATTCGCGGATATTCACATATTTCTATTGGGAGATATTTCGCTTTGAAGAGAAGGCCAACGAAGATTCTCGTTTCACGATTCCGCCAATGTTCCATTTCCTAAACCCACACGCTCTCATTAGTTGTTAATGACGCGAGTTTCGAGCAACCTTGCTCGGCCAAATTGCAAATGGCAACGCAACGTGCGAAGATAATAATCGTTGTGGCAGTGGATTAGTTAAACAATTAATCGCTACGTCGATTGCTTTGGGGTCGTTTTTGCAAGTCGACCGTCGACAGGAAAGATCGACTCTCAAATAATTAAAACGCCACGTTGTGTATGAATAGTATCGACAGGGTAATCCCGGGAATTAGAATATATTTTCCTACCGTTTAAACGCGGTCTCCAGCTGGCCTCACTGGAAATATTAGATCTCGTTTTCGTGAGGTTGAACGCCGAACGAATACGTGAATCTCTTCAAATATAAAACACTTCGGTGTATTTTATGCGTTCGACCGAGTGGCCGAATCAGAATTTAT